AAATGATCGGAATCACCCAAACAAAGGTGTTCTTTCATTGAGTAGGTATAGGCTCCCTCGTGGAAATCCCAGAAGGATAACTTATCAGAGGACAAGGACCCAGGTGCGCTCCCACTTCTTTTCCCTGCGGGTTCGCCGTCCCTGGAATGTAGCTATGGTACCATCTGTGGACTTTTTTAAGCGAAGGCTGGACAACCATGCAGCGATACAAGGACTGCATCCAAATGGCCCATCCCCTTAAAATCCCATACACCATTCAAGGGTAGACAATTAAACTGATCGTTTTACTTCTTTACATTCTCTTCCGTCTTACTCTCCTGACAGGTTTAAGTACATCTATTATTATTATTATTATCATTATTACCGGTATATATACCATTTGACTGACTGTTGTTACGTTTTCTTATTCTTTTTCCGTCTGTTAGTATGAATACCTTCACTAGTTACATCTATCATTATTATCTCTTTTCTTTTGACGACGATACCGAAGGACCAACTGGCGAAAGGATCAACTCCATTCACAGTAGTAAGTCTTAACACACCTCATACTACAAACCACATATAATTAATCCCTGCACTACTCCTTTTGGAGTCAACCAAAGCTACGACAGTTGAGTGGCGGGACGAGCTACGCAGACGTTTACCGAGGATTAGGAACCTATACCTCACAATCAAGAGGCGAGCACAAAGAAATCAAATTGGTTTATACTAGCTCGTAAAAACGACATAGGATATTGGGTATTGGAACCCTGGCATGAGAAGCGGAATGTTAGACAGGTGCGCTACTTGTGTAAATGTAGGGTAGTCTCTCTTATTGTCTCTCTTATTCGCCGTAGCAGAAATGTGTTGTATTTTGGCTTAATTAAGTTATGACGAAAGTAAAATGTAGCAGCCAACCTGGTTGCTGACCTACGAAATCAAACAAGAGTTACAGGCTATATACAGAAGAAAGTCCATAATAAATTAAATATGAGAAATAAGTTGACTTTGTTAAATTTTTCTTCTGAATTCGCATCCTCTTTTCTACATTCCTTCGACACTACCTCACTCTTAATATAGCTTTTGTAAAGTTAAATCAAATTTACTCTTGAGAATGATCCATTAATTAAGTTCGTAACAATCTTGAGAGGACTCTCAAGCTTTTAAACACTATGTGCTGATCAGAATGTGTTACTTCACTTTATCGAATACCTTGAGAAAGAATTTGAGAGTCCACCTCGGTGTCATTAAAATAATTGGAATTAGTCGATCACCACTGTCATCGTGCTCAGCCGCTATTGGTGATATTCTCCATATACATATCTTGTTCTGTAGAGGCTCAGGTAATGAAAATTAGGCCTCAAATTTCTCATGGAAAGCTAGTTCTGAACTGTGGACGAGGATCCTAATGTCTTAAGTTCAGTATTGATGATACACAGTGGTGTAAAGAATCATATATACTAACACTCAAAATCTGCGCTTATTCCGTAGTTACAGCTCACAATAGTTAATTAATCTCATGTGGACCCAGATTACTTCACTGCACACTAAAGCTATGTAGTTTCTCGAGAAGTTAAATGCATTTATGAAGAATTAAATGGAATTTAAGCATTATTATTATTATTTGCAGGGTTGTATTTATGTATGTAAGACGTCAGTTGACAATAAGAACTTACCCACGCATGACAAAATAGACCTCCGGTCTCGTTTACTAGAATGTTCGCGAATATCGCAGGTGTAACACTTCATAACTTTAGTGTAGGAAAACTCAAATTATTTTTTCAGGTTATGAGGTGTAGGTCTTCTCAGTTCATATTATCTCAGTAGGTTTCATCACACTAAGTCTTACATTTCATGACCATTTTTGTGTATTCCAAAATATCCTCTTCACATTCAATATAGTAACTAGTTTAACATTGAAACTTTGCACAATAGGGCGCAGAGTAATTCGACACACTTCAGAAAAACGCACAGGTTGAGGAAAGGGTTGAAATGGAACCACAGTAGACGAATATGTGCAAGAGAAAGAACAGTTGAAAGATTAACGGTAAACACTTAAAACCCAGAGGATAAAAAGTTGTGAATACGTCCTCACCGTTGTGGACTATTTTGATTCATATCTCCAGTAATCTACGGTCAATTAATTTTGGCTTGTCGGGGTCCCAGACAAAATATTCATCGCACTTTACTCATCTCTATAGTCAGTGATTTCATAAATTGACTGCACTTTTTGTCTGGCTATTTCTGTCTCCACACCGAGTATTATTTCAGTTACCATTGGGCACCGAGAAAGTGCGTTGTTCGGCATGCCCTGAAAATGCTCTAGCCACTTCCATTGGTGAAGCTTAATAATCTCGTCGGCCAACTTACGTTCCTTGTCCATTTCTACAACTAACCACGTTATTACTCGACACATTACTCCGCACAACACAGGTACATTTACACATGATATGGTACAACATGTACTGTTAGATATGACTTTGTTTGGCGTTGAAATCTTGGGAGTTGATTTACTATTCGGAGAAGGGTTCGTGGACATTTTCTTGAAGATCTTGACACAAATGCACTCATTTAAACTCCCTGACCAAAACTGTGTGTGTGAGGTGAAGCTACAGAACTACTTGGAATGACTTTTAGTTAAAGGATAAAGAGTGAAATGGTAAAATCTCCTGATTACTTTGTTGATTAATATAATGGTATGGTAGATTTCTAGTACTTATCTTTGCCAGCTAAAAGCGACAGCATTATAATTGTATTTTTTTATAGGACCTGAGTTGATTCGTCTGTCTTTCAACTAGGAATTCAGTTAACACCAAGCAGTAACTGCTTCGTCCTGACTCGACTGAAGTCTCTTCTGAACTCACGTCCTCAATAAAAGTCGAACTCGGAACAACTATTTTCCTAGCAGAATTATCAATGAAATCTGTTTTATAGAAAATAATTCTGTTTCACTGTGTGATACATTCAATAAATGAACTAATATAAAGTTTATTCTTATATTTATGGAAAGAAATGATCTATGCAGAACCTAGTAATATTATTAAGTAATGGTATAAATTCCTTCATGTATGTGAACATGCCCTGGTTCTTTCCTCGTGTTCCTTCTTCATTTACTAGAGTTCCAGTAAATCTAACCAATCAAATTAGACTTCGCACTATTTGTTTGAGGTAGTTATTAGTATGTCATACTACTAATTTTGACAACTTACCAATTTTCTCTAAGCTATCCTTTGCAGCAATAGTTCCATGGTTGAAAATATAGGGAGATGTGCAAGTATTATTCAGACATATACCGTTCTTTACAATAGTTGTTAATTTAGGCGACTATTCTTCGTGTTCATTGTTATTGTAGATCCAAAAATAGCCTGTTTTCATAAAGTGCTTATGAATTATTGATGGTGCTAGGACATAACGAATCTGTGCTAATGCAATAGTTTCAACACACTTAACTGTCAAACTGATAATTTTGTTGTAATCCGATAATCAGTATAGAACTCTGTAAGTATATAAATTAGGTATTCGTTTTTCATCGTATTCATTTGGTTCACTTGTGTTGTTAATTAAAGTTGTGTGATCGCTGCAGTACATATGCATTTACGTATTTTGTGAAGACAGACATGACATGTGTATTCTTCGAAATCATCAGCATATGTGTACGCCATAGCTCGTAGTCTACTTCAAGAATTTCCAGGTGCACTCTCAGTGTCATTTTTGAGAATATACTTTTACCTTTGCGTCGGTGGCACAGCGGTTAGGTCGCTCGCTGACCATGCACATGGTCCGGGGTTCGATCCCCGACAAACGCACTCCTTTACCTCGCTAAGCCATTAATAAAGCTGGTAAAGAGGAAAAGTTGGGCATGAGGCTAGCAACCCCATCCTGTAAAAGTAAACATTGCTACAGAAACTTCAAGCCTCCAGCCTTCATTTGCATAAACACTACTTAAATATGTTAAAAGCGTGATTTACATAAATTTTGAAACATGCGCGATACTGAATACCATATTTTGTGACTTATGTGTTACGATGGTTTCTTGTGTTTTCTGAGATAACAGTATCGTTTTGAGTCGTAATTCCATGCTTGAAGCATTTGACTGCCAAATGTCGAGTGGCAGATTGGACGTACTGAGGCTCTAGTTAAGTTGTGTAGCATTATTTACCTTCGAATAGTAAGTTTAGCTAAGTTATGTGGTCGGAAAGTCCCGTTTTCATACCCTTCTTCGTAATTTCGGCGTGTTTCTATTTCGAATAGTGATCTGTAAGGCTTTATTTAAAATATTGTCTAGACCTGCTTATTATAATAAGTGATTAGAGTTTACAAGATCGCATCGTTGTTCTGCAAAGTTGTATGTGCTTAAGTAGTCGTTTGGGCAGTTTTAAGAATAAACACTGTCAATTTAATTACACGTGAATTTGGGAGTGTTATGGTGGTCTCAAGCAAGTTGTGATTAATAAATCTATTCGAACAATCAGACTTTTCAAATATTTCGCCTACCACTGCATAAAGAGCTTAGATTGGAAATATTATGCGTTCCATCTTGTAAGGCCTTTTATTGCATTTTTTAATCTCCAACAATCCATAAGTTTATGTCACTTGCCTTAAGCAGACATTGCTTTAGTTGTAGTTCCATTCAAAAACTTTGTTAAATTCTAACTGCTCTCCATAGGGGCAGTTTCCATTTTTCAACATCATAAAGTAAACTTTGAAGATTGTCTAAGTTTATGTCTCCATCTTCTGTCGGTACCAAAGCTCCACACATATTGTTGTTGTTTCCATTTCACTGAGGTGTCTTACATCTCATTAGCGTCAGTTTTATTATCTTTCTTAATTGTTATATGTGCTTGTATGAGATCAATGCATGTAGACAGACAGTTCCAAGTACCTATTATTCTCTGTACTAATATTACTCAGTTTATTGTTTTTGTTACAGATTTTCTCTATTCGACATACAGTGAGTAATATACCTGATTATGGTCTGACGCTCACTATTGCTGCAATCATTGTAAATACCCAATAGTAGGATGTCAAGTGGTCTGTTGCTAATCATATGAGTGATAATTTCCTTTCCTTTCCTTTAGAAGACACATGTCATAATTTATTTTTACAATACTATAAAGCTTGGGGTGGAGCTGAAGATTACGAGTCAGACAATCTTGGATTTCCTGAATTTTTTCAACGTGTAAGTGTGTTTGTGTGTGTGGTAAACTCTTGTTAACTGCATAACTAGGTACCACAAGATCATGAGATTTTACCAGCAAAATTACGAGAAGATGCAAGGTATGTGCTATCTCAATAAACTTTATCATGCTCAGATCTGCTTTATTGGAGAGAAAAAGTATGGGATTATTGTCTAACAGTGAACTACAAGTAAGGTAGTTTTAAAAAATATGTTATTTTTAAAAAATAATAGGAATTCTGGTATCTGTTGGAACGATTTCACTCTCCGCCTACAGTAAATGGTGAGAAGTTTATGAATTATGAGAATTTTCGTAAAGCTGCTAAAGAAGCATCTCCCAAAGCAAAGTAAGCTTATCCAGTAGTTTGATTTGTATTTATGTATGTCTTTTTAAGCTGTAAAGCAACCCATATTGTAATATTAAGCTGTTTTTCTTAGTTTGCGTCTGTGTGCCCAGCAGAGTGTATTACGAGAGTCAACATTTGAAGTAGAAAAAAAATATAAATATCACCGGTTTTCAGAGAACGATATGCAGGCGAATTGAGTACTGCACCAATCAGAATCGAAGTGTTAAACTCGTCTAGAGTAGCTTTCATAGATATAGAACAAACAGATTTAAACAAACTCGCTAAATGTATATCTGGAAGATGCGCCAACAAGAAATATATTCTTTCATACTAATTTGTTTATTAAACATAACACCCAATGAATAAACAGTATTATTTACTGGATGACAAAGTTTCAAACACATTTTATTGTCCATAATCATATCAATTATAACTACACAACTGTGGAACTCTCGTTTTAAAGTCTTCTTCATTCCTAGCGGAGTACGAAATCCTAGCAAAATTCACATTAGTTAACTTTGATAAGACAAGAAATCTGGAGAATAGTTCATTAATAACACTACATGCAGTTACACTCAGTCATACAATAGGATGGGATAAGATGATAGTTTTAAGATCGAATGTAGCGAAAGCTTCGTTTTATAGTTTACTCTATTCCTTTCTATTCGTCGTAGGGGTAGTAGAATTTTCTAGATGTCCAGCTGGACAGATGTTGAATCATTTCTATTACACGTATTCATTCTCAGTTGATTCGATAAATAAGGGCTTCCTCCCACCCTGTTACATTCGATCTTAAAATTATCATCTTTTCCCATCCTATTGTGTATGGTTGTGTGTAATTGCATGTAGTGCTATAGCAAACCTATTCCCCAGATTTCTTGTTTTGTTAGGGTTAACTAATTTGGATTTTGCTAGGATTTTGTACTCCGCTAGGAATGAAGAAGACTTTAAAACGAGAGTTTCAAACTTTTGTAGTTACAATTGATTGATATGGTTATGGACAATAAATTGTGTTCGAAACTTTGTCATCCAGTAAATAATACTGTTTCTTCACTGTGTATTATGTTTAATAAACAAACTAATATGGAATTACATACTACCAAAGTGCCCAACTTCCACACACGCATATTAATCCAATCTTTCAATTTTTTTAATCCTCAAAAAGTCGAGTTCAGTCTACGGTCTCCTGAGTCACTCAAAACAATCCCTAAAATACATAAGTACCGAAATACAAAATCTATTGGCATGTTATTATGTATTTGTAGAGGGTCAGTCGTACTTCGTACTTAATGTATGTTTTACTGGTTTTGTTACTCTGGATCTTCTTCTGGATCATCTTCACTGTCGTTTCCTTGTGAGGAGGTGGTTAACTAATTCTGACACATTAATTGGGCACTGAGTGCGTCGGTGGTATGGCGGTTATGACGCTCGCCGACCATGCACATGGTCCGGGGTTCGATCCTTGGCTACGGACGCACTCCTTTACCTCGCTAACCCAGAAATAATGCTGGCAAAGAGGAAAGGTTGTGCACGAGGCTAGTAACTCCATCCTGTAAAAATAAACATTGTTACAGAAACTTCAAGCCACTGACTTGAAGCCCTGTTCCACTGGGGAACGTGAAGGAAAAACAAAATACAATTGGGCACTACAAAGGTTTATTATAATCAAGGTTTTTTGTATTTCCCAATACATGAATGAAAAACAAAACGATATTACTGTTTTTACTGACGTTTCGCTATCTAATGCTGCTAACAGCTTTATTTAAGTATTACTAAACAAGAATTTACTACAAAATCTCAGCTTATATATAACAACTTTATCATCATTCCTCAGCATGGGGTCATTTTTGTGTTATCAAATTGGCCAATTGGTAAAGGTAACAGAACCCTGGTGTAGATTGTTGGATTTGAAAAATGTGTAAAATTATAAAAGCAATGTGCGTTTACATAATGAAATTGCTTATCACAATCGTGTTGATTTGTCATTTCATGGGGTGGTGGTACGGTGTTGTAACCAGGTAAAATTCTATTTCAGTCCATCATTCCTATTGCATTTGGATATGAAGTGCTTCCAATATTAAACATCCTTTGTGATTTCTGAAGTTTTTCTGGATGATGATTTCAATAGTGTCAAAATCAATTTTGTGGCCTGATTCTATAGTGTGTAGACCTATGGCTGATGATTTTTCAAGCTTTTCTAATTCAGCTTGATTTCTCGGTGGTCGAACAGATGAGGCTCTACGGTGTTCATTTCTTCTGATTTTGGTTTCTCGCAATGTTTTTCCGATGTATATCGCATCACATGCCAAGCATTTTACTTTATAGACACAATTAGATAGAGAATCTTTAGGGATTTGGTCTTTTATATGGACAAGGTTGCTTCGCAGTGTGTCTGCTTTTACAATTTTACCCACTTATCAAATCCAACAGTAGTCTACACCTGGTTCTGTTACCTTTACCAATTGGCCAATTTGACAACAAAAAAATGACCCCATGCTGAGGAATGATGATTAAGTTGTTATATATAAGCTGAGATTTTGTAGTAAATTCTGGTTTAGTAATACTTTGATAAAGCTGTTAGCAGCATTAAATAGCGAAACGTCAGTAAAAACAGTAATATCGTTTTGTTTTTCATTCATGCATTGGGAAATACAAAAATACCTTGATTATTATGAATGTCATATACCTGATGCCCAAATTTTTTCAAACTGTTAAAAGTGAACTTCGTTTGGACATGCACTACAAAGGTTGTGTATTAGTAAAGTCTTCGTGTAACATTGTAATTCATTCACCGGTCAAGTGAAGAAATATGACAAAGTTCTTCTAAAATACCATTTATGACAAAATAAGACGAATATATTAGAGTGAAAATCAACTTAAACATAAGCATGACAATATTTGTTGAAGTATTAACATTCATGCTATAAGACTTTCTTGGTTGACATATTATCTAGTGATAGATACTGTCAGAATATATTTCTCCCTTAGTAAAGTTCAGTGTGTTTATATGTAAGGTGAATACCAACACCTGTGGTTGTATTTTTCCAAAATGGCAGAGAAAATGTCAACTCTGATGTTGATACAAGAATTATTCTCACGAATCAAGCAGAGATTAATTGTGGTTTTCATCTCAAACTTTCCCGGTCTTATTAAGATAATTTTTTCAGTATGAATAGCTAAATAGTCGGTCGAAATGTAGCTAATTGATTTGAGCGCTTACTTGACTTTCAGGAAATAAGTCCCTGGTTCTAATCTCGCCGCATTTATGTCAGTTTTGACAACTGGGTAGCATTAGCAGCCCTCATACACAATGCGTTTGACTCACAGCTTGGTACCGGGCAACTGAGTTCTAATTAGCTAACTAACTAAACTCATCTAACACTTTGTAATAGGAGTGCCTCCATAAACGACCTGGTATGGCTGAGGGCGGGCAAACTTAGGTCTCCCTCTATGTGTTTGTTCACTGCATTCATGTGGCGAGGATGTTCCCCAAAAAGGTGGAAGGGTAGGTACAAACGTCTGGTGCTTACGACCGGACTGGTGGAAATGCCAGTCTACCTAGGGGGGGGGTGGAAATCCCTTATCCCAAACCTTTGGTGTACATGGGCTCCAAAATTCTAGTCAACCGGATGGCGTACAAACCTGTCTTGCTCACCGCCAACCATGGAAACGTAGCTCCTGACTCTCTGCTCCACTGCATTGTGGATCCGAATCCGAATCGACGACTTACTCGGGAAGTGACCCCTTAAGATAAGCACGTGCTTCGGTTTGGGTGTCCAGGCAGTACTTTAGCCCTCGCACAAGTTATGAAATTTTGTGTGATGTATCCTCTTGGTTCTCATAATGCACCAAGTTTTTGTTTTGATAATGATAAATTACAATAAGAGTATGTGTGAGCTTTGTATTTCTGCTGTAATGTTTGTTTTTTAAATTAAGGGTTAATTTTCCAATTGGATAGAGTATAACTGTATAATTTTTTCCTTGTCACATTAGTACTTTCCACCCAGTTTTGCTCATATTATTTAAGTCATATGAACTGACGTTCGCGATATATTATGTTCCCTTTAGAGTTAAATACAGTGGCATTAGATTTGCTTAGATGGCTGTTTTAATTCTTTCTCAAAGTTCTGTTTGAACTGAGTTACCCTGACCAGGCTAGGAGCTACACATAGTTTATGAGGCTTGATTATATTATCCAGTTCCGCGAACTGAGATAGGTGGTGGGAGATTCGAAGCCAGTGCCCCATTGGCTGTAAGTTGAGTGCTTAAGCCAACTCACCATATCTCCAGGCACTCTCAAGAGAGTTCACTAAATGACCGTAGTTTTTGCACTTTATAACACTTTATGCACTGGTATTATCAGAGGGAATTTACTCCATGAAAACTTGTTAGACACGGGCCTTGAATGTTAGTTATGTGGTATGCTAAGGGTTCATATTTCTTGTCTCTATTCGTCAGCCGTGAGTTAGAATATAAGCCAAAATTATTGTTAAAAACGGACGGTGGTATCACGTGACTGTCATATTCTCGGCAGGTTGAGTAAGATTAGACTGACTTTTCGTTCTGATCTGTTAGTCATCAATCCGCACCTATCGCCTTACTAGGGGACGAATCCAGGACCTTCAGATCACAAGGTCAATGGTTAAGGGACAACATGTCACCTTTGTAGTCTGGAGGTCGTGGGCTCTGTGCTTAGTATGCTCATGGGTACCCATTGCCAAAAGAGCCTCAATCTCAGACAAAACTCCTTTCCAGTGTTCCGTGTTTCTCAATGATTTTTTTACATTTCATTTCTGTTATAAAGTTTACAGTATCATTCTTTTAAGTGAGAAATTATGTGCATTACTAAAAATTCTTCTCTATAGGCAATATTTCACAGCATCAACATTTGCTAAGTTGCTTCGAGAGGATGAAATGTTATCACGGATCAACATTCTGGCATTCTTCAATTATGTAATGAAGAAAGTATGGCTTCAGCAAACTCATGTTGGTATATCACTGTATGATGTTTGCGGTGAAGGATATTTACGTGAAGCAGATCTGGAAAATTACATGCTAGAGCTAATTCCCACCTTGTGTCAGGTAATTTATGCTTTGTATAATATATATATATATATATAACCTACATATAAAATTGACTGCATTACTCGTCCTGAGCGGGAGCATGGTGTTACATCCAGTCTGTTGTCGAAACAGTAGTGAAGGCTTGTTAATAGTCTAAATCTAAAGGTTAGTGAGTTCCACTGGATTTCTGTAGCTTCCCTTGTAAAATGTAAGATGCTGCTACAGGACTGGACTACGTCAACTCCTAGCTTAGTGATAGGGAGTGAAGTGACAGAACATGTTGACCACTTCACCTATTTGGGAAGTTGTATCAGCACCAACGGATTGATTGGTGACGAAATCTCAGCACGGATCCAAAAAGCTCGAGCTGCTTTCACTAACTTACACCATCTCTGGCGTAGGCGTGACATCCGACTATCAACCAAGGGACGTGTGTACTGCTCAGTAGTTCGCTCCGTCCTTCTCTATGGCTCTGAAATATGGCCAATACGAGTTGAAGACATGAAAAGGTTGACTGTTTTTGATCATAGATGTCTACGATCTCTTTCTCACGTTAGGTGGCATAATAAGGTAAGTAATGTTGACGTTAGGCGTAGAGTGTTGGGCGAAGAGGGAAAATCAATCGAAGAGGCTATAAAGTTACATAGATTGAGATGGCTAGGTCACGTGCTGCGCATGCCTAACCATCGCCTCCCCCGACGGGCATTACTAGCTGATATAGGTGCAGGTTGGAAAAGAGTAAGTGGTGACCAAACAAAACATGGCATCAATCCATGAAATCCTTGACAGTTAAACTGAGTCAGGTAGGTAGGGAGATGCAGACTTCCGGGTTGGGGCCCTCGGGACTCTAAGAATCAATGGTTGGAGACAATAGGTGACATGGCTCAAAGTCGTTGTCAATGGCTTACGCAGATGTATTCAGTATCTGTAATCTTTCATATTCCTTTCTACCATTACTCATTCTGTTTCACTCTTATACTTGTCGAAACTCTATTGATTCTCTTCACTCATCTTCTTGTCTACCTTTGTGTGCTCTTTGGAACGTGGCAACTCGAACTTCTGCACTTCGGTGCCAAGTTCTATGTTGAATCCAGCCAGCCAGCCAGCCATCCAAACAGATAGTTGAAAGGATACTGATATCGGCATGCTCCGAATATTGTGAGGAGCTAGAGCTGCTCATACGTAGGCTGACTATAAGTTGTCGCTACTATCATGAATACTGATGAATGACAAAAGCAATGAAAATGACATCAGCAATAGGTATTATTACCTGACAACTATGTAATCTCATTAAGGAGATAGGTTGCGAAAATTCTATGGTAAGTCAAATTATTTCCGAGAAGGATAGAAGTTTAATTGCATCTCAGAAGAAACGTTTGGAACTTTGGAGAGCATTGTTAGGTGCCATTCAAATGGCCTAAAGCTACCCATCATCCAACTCCTACATGATTAGGATGTAGACATCCGTCGTCTAACTGTAGCTGAGGTTGTGAAAGCTGTTTCTAATGTGAAACAAGTCAAAGCAACAGGGCTTGACGGTAGGACTCCAGGTGTTATCTAAGGATGGTGGCGAAGAATAATTGATCAAGATAATGTATGGGAATCTGTGATAGTCTCTCCAGACCGATGCAGATCAGTGATCATCCTATTTTATAAGAAAGGAGAATAATCAGGGGCAGCTTAACCAACATAGCATCCAGTATTCTGGGTTTCGGGCCCGTTTCCGGGTTTAAGACTCAGACAAGACTGCCTTCATACTGCTTTCACCCTCCGACGGGTTCTAAAACATAGGCCTATTCTATCTGCTTGTGAAATCTTTCTTGACCTGAAGGCGACATTCGATTCTGTCGATTGAGAGGCACTGTGGCAGTGTCTGGTTGTGAAAAGAGTTTTGACAAACTTTATATCTCACTAATCAGTGCGGTCTACTCGAACTCATGCAGTTGTGTAATTGCTTATGGAGAGTTGTCCTTTGAAGTGCTGACAACTAGTGGTGTCTTCTGCCAGGGATGC